CGATTATGGTAAGGGGCGTTACATTTCCGACGAGTGCTTGTGGTGTTCGGCCAATCACAATGCACTGGGTCAGCTGGCCAATCAGAGCAGACTGCGCTTGTCGGAAGGAGGGACTTTGTAGAAAACGAAGCGTTTGAGAGAGGCGGGGCATAGAGGACCTACAATAATGTACAGTATTTGAAAAATAATGTGTTTTTTGAACATTAAAACATGTCAACATATTCTGTTACACCAGATAATGATCTTTAAAAAAGCATCATATGACCCCTTTAAAAAAAAATGACAGCACATTCATCAGTAACTTTAATCATATTTTAAAGACAATAGAATTATGAAATTACATATAAAGATGTACTGAAGTCCTACTTAAGTGGGTCAAAAAAGCTCAGCTAATTGCATTTCATATAAATTTAACCTATATACATTTTCATTTATTTGTAAATAACATGCACTTAAGTGCCTGAAGACATTAAATTCAGTTCGCAATTAAGTATATTCTTTTAAAGTACATTATTTCCATAATCCGTACTAAAGTGTAGGCACATGTTGAGTTTGAGAAGGTTTAGCCCAGTAAAACGGCTCTGACGGTTTGGTCACCTGTGCAGATGTTTCTCTCCAGTCTGAATCCAGGGCGACACACACAGCTGTAGCTGCCCATGTTATTCTCACAGCGGCCGTTAACACACACATCAGGAGTCTGACGACACTCGTCGATATCTGACACACAGAAACTACTCACTCATTATACAATAGGCTTCAAATCAGCAAAAACCAGATTCAGATGATCTTCAGCTGCTTGAAGCTGGACATAAACTGGTTCAAGCTGGTTTAGATGGTTGATCAACTGGATCTCCAGCTGTTGATGATGGCTGATGTCAACCTGGTGGACCATCTATAGCTCAATCAGAACTATGTATTTATTTATTTGAAAAAAGTGAAATGACAGTGTCATTTACTTTACTGACTGCAGAAATGATTTTGGATTTTATTAATTTTTCTGTTTTTTATTAATTTTTATTTTTATTTTATTTTGGTACATAACCATGGTAGCCTGTTTCCACCACCTAATAAATAAATAAATATAAGGAAATTGCGACTTTATATATCACAATTGATTTTTTTCTCGCAATGACATTATATAAACTTGCAATTGCGAGTTATAAAGTCAGTTTTTTCTCACAATTCAGACTTTTTTCTCACAATTCTGACTTCTTTTCTCAGAATTGTGAGATAAAAACTCCATGTTTCGAGTTATCAACTCCAATTCTGAGAGTGAAAATTCCAATTCTACTCATATTATAGCTAATGTAGCTTTTGTTTAGTGTTTATATATATATATATATACATTAAGTAACAATTTGGTCCATGTCTAAAAAAATATATATATATATATACAGTATATATTGATTAAGTACAGTGGTCTTTATAATAAATTCTATTTTACTTTGTATGAGGGTTTTTACCTTTGGAAAAATACATATGTTTGATTAATAATAAATCAAAATTTGAACCAAACCATAAATATAATTGGAGAAAAACAAATCAATTTGGCTATCATTTTTAAGTTGGTTCAAAGTATCATTTTTTGGGTGTTTTTTCCGTCAGGATAACAGTTTACTTTGGTTGTTAAAAAGGTCATGTCCAGGTTTATAATTATAATGATCAATTCATGGTTACATTTCAGTCCAGATGTGTTGTAAAGCTGCTTTGACACAATCAATATTGTATAAAGTGCTATTCTAATAAAGGTGACTTGACTTGTTGTATTTACCTGAACATGCTCTGTTTTTAAGGCTAAATCCGGGCCTGCATGAAACACAGCGATACGATCCCCGAGAGTTCACACACTCCTGTCCGGGACACTGGGATGGATCCTCACACTCATTCACATCTGTGTCCACATGCACACACACATGAGTCACAGCGCTTAAGTCATTAATAATAACTGGTTTGCATGAATGCTCATACCTGTGCAGGAGCCGCCCTGCAGTCTGTAGCCGGTTCTGCACACACACCTGAAGCTGCCAAGCGTGTTTTCACACAGTCCGTTAGAGCAAGGAGACGGCGTCCGACGGCATTCGTCGATATCTAGACACACAACACCATCCTACATTCACGGTCTGTTCGCATTCAGCAGGATCGTGACTTGCTGGTGATTTGAAATGGATTGTTACCTGAACATGCTCTGTTTTTAAGGCTAAACCCAGGCCTGCATGACACACAGCGATACGATCCCCGAGAGTTCACACACTCCTGTCCGGGACACTGGGATGGATCCTCACACTCATTCACATCTGTAACATCACGCATATCAAACCATGCACACGGGAACACAGCCGTACTTAACATTTAAACGTATATCATTTAGACTTAAGTCACTTTTACACTTCTTACCCACACAGGTGTTGACCTGGAATCTGTAACCTGTTCGACATGAGCATCTGTAGCTGCCTGGTGTGTTTTCACAGCGGCCATCCGGACAGGGTGACGGCGTCTGGCGACATTCATCAATATCTGAAGAAGAGAACCATTGGTTTTACCTTGAAAGGTTTTACTCTTGTAAACTCTTGTGTAAAATAACTTTGCTTGATTGTGCTGAATGTGCACTCGCAGTGCACGTCAAATCTTAAAAAAGTATATTTTGAAAACTGTACTTGCAGAGGATATAATATTAATGAAGACCACTTAAGTGCACTTAAAGAGAGACACTTTCACAACGTTGTTTCTTAAGTAGACTTTTAAAAAAAGTGCACTTTGTAACAATGTCAAATTAAAAGTTTTACTTTAAAATACACGTTAAATCATTATGTTTAATCTTTTGTGGTGCTTTTAAGTACACTTATTTTGATGTGTTGACTAACATACTAAAGTACATGTAAATAGCCTGATTATAATTTTAACTATAGTGTGTAATCATATGTAATTTAAATGTACTAAATATAATTTTTGTAGTACATAACAGAAAATATTATGCATGCAGTATTTAAAAAAATGTATGAGAATAAACAGTATGTTTTTATTTTTATCAAGTAAACTCAATTAAACATTGATTTACAAAATGTTTTTAGTTTTATCTCAAGTGAAGGATCTACTTCTAGTTCTACTATGTTTTTTGTTGATGCTGAAATGAAGTTGTAAAAAGCCAAAATATTGACCTACATTAAGTCACAACTTGACCTATGACCTAACTTCATCTTTATGACATTAAATGACAAAATATATATTAACGTATATTTTAGTTTATCATAAATGCTTGACAGTACATTCAGCAGTAACGTATTTCAAAATAACTTATTTTTAGTAACCACATTTCAAAGACAATAGAAGTAATTAGGATTAAAAAGCACTCTTAAGTTAAATTAATTTTAAACTTTAATACATTTTCCTTTAATTGTTCTAACATACTAAAGTACATGTAAATAGCCTGATTATAATTTTAACTATAGTGTGTAATCATATGTAATTTAAATGTACTAAATATAATTTTTGTAGTACATAACAGAAAATATTATGCATGCAGTATTTAAAAAAATGTATGAGAATAAACAGTATGTTTTTATTTTTATCAAACTCAATTAAACATTGATTTACAAAATGTTTTTAGTTTTATCTCAAGTGAAGGATCTACTTCTAGTTCTACTATGTTTTTTGTTGATGCTGAAATGAAGTTGTAAAAAGCCAAAATATTGACCTACATTAAGTCACAACTTGACCTATGACCTAACTTCATCTTTATGACATTAAATGACAAAATATATATTAACGTATATTTTAGTTTATCATAAATGCTTGACAGTACATTCAGCAGTAACGTATTTCAAAATAACTTATTTTTAGTAACCACATTTCAAAGACAATAGAAGTAATTAGGATTAAAAAGCACTCTTAAGTTAAATTAATTTTAAACTTTAATACATTTTCCTTTAATTGTAAATAACATGCAGTATTTCAAAATAACTTATTTTTAGTAACCACATTTCAAAGACAATAGAAGTAATTAGGATTAAAAAGATTAAAAAGCACTCTTAAGTTAAATTAATTTTAAACTTTAATACATTTTCCTTTAATTGTAAATAACATGCAATTAAGTGTCTGAAAACATTACATTCAGTTGACATCTTTTAAAGCATTTAATATTTTTAGAAGTCTTTTTCACAACATGACAGGGCCTCTTTACAGCAGACTAATACAGATTAGTTTGCTGTAAAATAAATATTTACAGTCAATCTGTTGATATCTGTGTGCAGTGTGTTACCTGAACATTGTCCGTTGAGCAGATCAAAGCCCGGCTTGCAGGAGACACACCTGTAAGAGCCCTGAGAGTTCACACACTCCTGACCCGGACAGCGCAGGGGGTCGACACACTCATCTATGTCTAAGAGCACAAAACACCACATGATTTGAAATCATAATTTAACAAACCTAACAAATACTATTTTTGGAGACAGAAAACACACGATTCATTCCTGTCATGCAGTACATTTTCATTGAGTCATCAGATACAATACTGGTTAAATGTTTGGGGTCAGTAAGAACTTTTTATGCGTTTGAAAGAAGTCTCTTCTGCTCACCAAGGCTGCATTTATTTGATTTAAAAATACAGTAAAAATTTTGAAATATTATTATAATTTTAAATAGCTGTTTTCTATGTGAATATATTTTAAAATGTAATCTATTTCTGTGATCAAAGCTGAATTTCAGCATCATTACTGCAGTCTTCAGAGTCACATGATCTTCAGAAATCAGTATAATATGCTGCTCAAGAAACATTTCTGATTGTTATCAATGTTGAAGACGGTTGTGCTGCTTCATATTTTTGTGGAAACCGTGATGCATGCTTTTCAAGATTATTTGATATATAGATGGTTCTAAAGCATTTTTGCTTTGCAACAGAGGTTTATTGTGTCATTAAATGTGTCGTTAAAAGAAAAAAATCGTTCTGACCCCCAAAATATCGGATATTATGACATTTTGTCACTAAAATAAAGTGCTAGAAGGTACAAAGCAAAGAAAAAGTGAGCAAGCATTGTGGGTAAAATGATTTGAATGACCTATGCAGCTGTTGTCCTGTAGCTTGTATCCAGTCCTGCACAAACACCTGAAGCTGCCCAGTGTGTTTTCACAGCGGCCGTTAACACAGGGATTGGGCACCTGACGGCACTCATCCAAATCTGTGGAATCCATCGATCTCATCAGTGATTACAGTACATGCACGACATTTTACAAACATGCTCTTAGGCAGTGTTTCTCCAGCGCACTGAGAGAATGAGATGTTTCTGACCGACACACAGGGTCTGCTGGGAGTTGGTCTGGTATCCTGATGGACAAACGCACCGGAAGCTTCCCTCTGTATTCTCACACTGACCCACAGAACACGGCCGGGGCGTCAGCAGGCACTCGTTCATTTCTATTAGTGAGAGAGAGGGAGAGGGAGAGGGAGGGAGGGAGGGAGAGTGAGTGAGAGAGTGAGTGAGGGAGGGAGAGAGAGGGAGTGAGAGAGGGAGAGGGAGGGAGGGAGTGAGAGAGAGAGAGAGAGTGAGGGAGAAAGGGAGAGAGGGA